GTGAGTCTTAGTACCCTGGATGCCTATAATACGTAGTATGATCTGGATGCGCTGTGATAGCAAGCCTCTCAGTAAAGACCATACTGATAGAGTGAAACCTCCTCTTTACAGGACTGGTATTAATCACCCACTACCTAACACTCACCACGCTCATAAACTTCAGTCAACTCATAGTAACAACCTTTTTACTATTAGATACTCAGATTAGTTACCCAGAGTCTGACAGTACTTATCCATAATGTTGATTACCTTTACCTCTTGTTATCTTATCTTTATTATTAACTTATCTTATTTATCTTACAGTTATCTTATCTGTTAATTACTTATCTATTAAATACATACCTGTGTTCTACATAAGTAATTATCACTTACCTTTCACTCCCTTGTCCGTGAAATACCTGTACCACAAGTTATCCCTCTGCTACAGTATTTTCACGGTCAAATATTATTACAAATAAATATGTACATGTATTAAATAATAAGTATTAAGTGTCAATAGAATTAATACATTCAATACATGCACTGATCACAATTATGACTACATTATTAGAGGATCTGTTAAGTACACGCATCAAGAGCTACTAGTACATTGATCAACTAGTACACAATTATGATGTCACTTACAGATCATGACAAATAATGATCAGTCACTCAATTGATGTGCTCATTCTCCTGGCCAAAGCTCCCTTGATTCTGAGCGCTCATTCTTTCCCCCCTTCAATATTCTGGAACTTATAATCCGTGCCTCTTTCACTGATTAATCCCCAGAATATTCAGACACCAGTTAAACCAGTTAACATTTATATTGATACAGTACACGTAACCAACATAAATCTTGTCTACATTTATTGTTCTTAAGCTTCAGTACTCTTACTCAACTTATCCACAGTATTCATAGCCTTGCTGAATATTCCCATCAACAATACCTGTTAATCTTCAACTAATTTTGTTAAAGCTTAATAATTATTGTTAGCCCATTCCCTTTTGGGAATAACCAAATCAATCCCAGGTGAGTCTTAGTACCCTGGATGCCTATTAATACCTTGTATTGATCCGGATGCGCTGTTGATAGCAAGCCTCTCAGTAAAGACCATACTGATAGAGTGAAACCTCCTCTTTACAGGACTGGTATTAATCACCCACTACCTAACACTCACCACGCTCAAAAACTTCAGTCAACTCATAGTAACAACCTTTTTACTATTAAATACTCAGGTTAGTTACCCAGAGGCTGACAGTACTTATCCATAATGTTGATTACCTTTACCTCTTGTTATCTTATCTTTATTATTAACTTATCTTATTTATCTTACAGTTATCTTATCTGTTAATTACTTATCTATTAAATACATACCTGTGTTCTACATAAGTAATTATCACTTACCTTTCACTCCCTTGTCCGTGAAATACCTGTACCACAAGTTATCCCTCTGCTACAGTATTTTCACGGTCAAATATTATTACAAATAAATATGTACATGTATTAAATAATAAGTATTAAGTGTCAATAGAATTAATACATTCAATACATGCACTGATCACAATTATGACTACATTATTAGAGGATCTGTTAAGTACACGCATCAAGAACTACTAGTACATTGATCAACTAGTACACAATTATGATGTCACTTACAGATCATGACAAATAATGATCAGTCACTCAATTGATGTGCTCATTCTCCTGGCCAAAGCTCCCTTGATTCTGAGCGCTCATTCTTTCCCCCCTTCAATATTCTGGAACTTATAATCCGTGCCTCTTTCACTGATTAATCCCCAGAATATTCAGACACCAGTTAAACCAGTTAACATTTATATTGATACAGTACACGTAACCAACATAAATCTTGTCTACATTTATTGTTCTTAAGCTTCAGTACTCTTACTCAACTTATCCACAGTATTCATAGCCTTGCTGAATATTCCCATCAACAATACCTGTTAATCTTCAACTAATTTTGTTAAAGCTTAATAAGTATTGTTAGCCCATTCCCTTTAGGGAATAACCAAATCAATCCCAGGTGAGTCTTAGTACCCTGGATGCCTATTAATACCTTGTATTGATCCGGATGCGCTGTTGATAGCAAGCCTCTCAGTAAAGACCATACTGATAGAGTGAAACCTCCTCTTTACAGGACTGGTATTAATCACCCACTACCTAACACTCACCACGCTCAAAAACTTCAGTCAACTCATAGTAAACAACCTTTTTACTATTAAATATTCAGGTTAGTTACCCAGAGGCTGACAGGCCTTGCAGTTGCTTATCAATCACTGGTGGCAATTTATCAGTAATCTTTTGTAATTGTAATACCTTATATTTCTTGCTTTGGGATGAACATCTGATCCAACTGAACACGGTATCAAGTGCATTCTTTAATCTTCCAACGGCAAAACCATTGATGCACATTTGACATGTGGTGGCTTGCGTTTTGCGTGATTGTTGTTTCATGCCAGCCAAGCCTGCCAGTGCCACTCTCAGGTCGGGCCCTGCAAAGAGGTGTTGTAACCCAGGAGGGGTTACAGCCCTGAGAATCGCCGCAGCAACTATATATACCCACCTCGGATGCAGATCCGAGGAGGCACACTCATGGAATCTACACCTACTCTTTCATTCATCCTCAGAGATTCCGTGTGGGGTGCGAACAGGTTATGAGCCTTTGTGCTTAACTTTGACAATCCTCTTATATCGCTTCTTCTAATTTAGAATATAGAAAACACCTAATTGTGATTTCTCGGTATAAACCTTTTTCCTTCCGACCTTCCGTCAACCGACAGCTGAATCCTAATCGAATCACTTTTCCCTCCAGACATAACTCAATTCGTGTCGATACTTGAATCCTAATCGATTCTAAGTTTTTCCTTCTCCCTTTGATCTTCTACGTTGTACCGATTAGGTTTGCAAAACCTCTGAGGGGCTACCCAGACTAGCCATCTGGTGAAGTTATAGTTATTGGCGTAACTATAGCGCCGAACAGTTGCTGCATATCCGACATCGTTCTTCTTTCTTCTCTCTTCTGTCTCCTGGTCGCGTATATCCTCTATCGTTTTCATTTTCTTCTATCATCTAATCCCAAATTTTCCCTTTTTTCCTTTTCCATTCCCCTCCTTCCGATTCTTTTTTCCTTTCTCACTCTCTCCCGACAACACTTTTCCCCACGCACTTCCCCACTCTTTCTCACCAGACTCTTTTCCCATATTTTTCTTTTCCTATTTCCAAACCACATCGTTCCCCCAGGATAGTCCGTCTGTTTGACTTTGTTTCTTTTCCCTCTCGACATGTCCACTGGCATCGCTTCCACAGGAGGCCCTGGGTCACATCGCCGCAACAGCCTGGCAGGATCGGTAACTTCGCATGGATCTTTTGAGGACTACGTTCCCGACGGGAAAAAGAAGATGAACGAGCTATTTGACTCAGTAGCCGGCACGTCAAGTGGTCCGAACCCGGGCGATCAGACAATTCGTCCGACTGGGGCGGCAGGCCCTTCTAACCCTAACCGAATCAACAGGGCGGCGACTGCTCCGGTTGGTCAATCGACTTCAGGTTTGAACACCCTTCGGCAACAGCTGGACCTTCCCCCCCACCTCCAAGCCACCAACACAAACCCTCCTCCCCCGATCATCCCAACCCCAAGATTTGATCAAAGACCGGCCACAGATTTCCGTTTGAATGAAACTGAAGACAAACGCGATTTCAGGTTTTCCGAGATGAAACTCAAACAAAACAAGCTGGTGTCGTCATCGGTATCCTCCATCGTCAGCGGGATGAGAAAAGAAGATGCACTTCTGCCGGATGGATCCAACTTCGGCCAATGGTTCCGAACCCTCAAGGAAGTCTCGCGATTGGGTCTGTCCGACCCGGATTTTTTCTTTAAACCCTGTACAAGCAAAACCTTTGAGCGGATTGGACGAGCCGTGATGCTAGCAAGCGTCCACTCTTCTTTAGTCCCAGACCTCCAGGCGGTTGACACCTCGCACAAGATGTACCTGTCGATCAAGAAGAAGTTCAAGACCGTATCGCGGGCGGCCCAGATGAACATCTGGCACCGTTTCATGTTGTTCAGGATTGACCCGTCTATGCCGAGCGCAGGGGTTGCTGCTACATTGTTGGATCTCTATTCAGAATGGAGATCAGTGAATGTCAGCTGTCGGAGCGACTCATTTCTCGGTTTCATCCTGCAAGCAGCGGTCGTGCAATCTGGCGCGCCATATCGGTCGGATTTTGAGAACCGGATTGAAAATGCAATTCAGAACGATCCGAACAATGTCTGTCCCTCTTTCGCCTTGATATGCAACGCATACGACATCAGTCGTCAGCAACACTTTCAGGCTTCAGAACAACCCAGTCACCCCGCCGGCAGCGTTTTCACACCGGCAGCCCTACTCACTGCGACATCGACCAATGAAGATTTCGATGCATCCATGTTTTTGACTGGCATCGATGAACCGGAATGGAGCGCTGCTCTCGATTTCTTTGCCCTGACGGCGGCAAAGTGCTGGGGCTGTGGGGGTGATAACCACTACCAACAAGACTGCCCTCAGAAGAGCAGGCAACCTGGTCAGCAATCGGGCAAGCAGGTGATTGGAACTCTAGTCGGCACAATCTACGGCCAATTGCCAAGCGGTTTTCAGGTAACCTCAGCGAGGTTTCCCAACTACTCGGCACGAAAGTCTCTAGCCCCCCCCACGGTCAATCAACACCGAGCAATACAAATGGCCGACTATTACAGGCCTCGGTATGGCCAGTCTCAATCCTCCCAAAATTCAATGTTGAGATCGCCTCAGAATACAAAACCCGGGGGGGTTACGGCGCAAATCGTGGAGTTGGGCGTTCTACCAGACGACCTGGATGATCTGGATTTCCGGACAATGGCGCTTGGGGAGGATGTCGTAAGTGATCCTGCTGTTTTTGACACCAGAGCCTCTCATGGTTTCAAGGGCTCAAATTTTCTTCTTCATTCTTTTCGCTATCTGTCCAAACCAATTCCCGTGGCTGTAGCTACCAACAGTAGCAGATCAAAGATCACCGGTATCGGAGACCTTAAATTCCGGGGGCCAAATGGCCAAGTCATAGTGCTAAAACACGTACTATACTGTGAGCACGCTCGGTCCACACTCATCTCTATGGCAGCGCTTCGCAAAGCTAATGCCTCCGTCTTTTATGACAACGAAGCAGACGCTTTCAAAGTGTACCACCCTAATGGATCCCATCTGTTTAGCTGTGTTTTCGAGCAGGCGAAGAACAGGTGGTGCATGCCCTATCCTATGATCCGTGTCAGCCTCTATGCTACTAACCTGTAAGGGTTGTGCTCTGAGTGTTAACAACAAGTGAATTGAGAAGGTTTTATTCGTGGTTATATCCCTCAACCTGTAAATGAAACAGGGAGGAGTCAGTGAGGAATGGTACTTCTACTGCTGACTCATCCAATTATTCAATTGGGCATCCGGATCAATCCTCTTGCATGGATTAATAGGCTTCCAAGGTGAGGACTTCTTCAACTCACTTGGGATAAGTCTTTTAACAACAATTCAGATTAATAAGTGTATCAACACTTAAGGACCAGAATTGTTTAACCAGGGGGATAATTCTTTATGCAATGGAGATAAGTAGAAATGCCTTAAACTATGTAAAGTAAATCTATTTAGGTTCAAGGTAGCTGAGTTGTAGGGTTATTGGTGGTTTAAGTCACTAATAATCACTGTACAAGTGTTGGTTTGATGCTACTAGAATTTCCTGGGGGGAAAAGGTAGGAATCAGGGCTCCTTAAATATTCTACAGGAGGCTCAGGGGAAGAGGAGAGGCTCTCAGGGCACTAGAGGACTTCATAGCAGCTCTACAATTTCGTGTAAAGATGGGAACAGTAGCTGTGCAGAGCTGTGCATTGATGGAAGGTCCTAGGACATGATATCATACATGTATAATTGAATTTGTGGCCCATTTCTCACGTAATTGAAAGAGCTGCAGTTACTGTGCAGGGGCTGTGCAATTGCATGAGTGTTTGCATACGTGTAACTCTGCTTATGCAAGCTTGTGATCATGAGAAATTGCATGTTCTGCATGCATAATTCAGTCTTGCATGTAGAATTTGGGCTCCTTTCCCATGTAGGCTGCTTTGAATTATGCAAGCTTTGAATTAGAGCACAAAAGGGTCCTGATGACACCATCCGAGAGGGTTATGATGCAATCTGATGCCCTGATGATGTGATCAAGGATGGGTAAGCTTCAGATAAGTTTATATAGCTTATTCCTCCTCTATTCCACGCTTCTACTAGCTGATTCTTATACCTATGTTATTAATTTATGTATTATAAAATATGTACATAATGTATAAGAATAAATATTGCTTTAATACCTTGTTCTAAGGTTCTTCCTGTGAAATCCTAGTGATATTATATGTACAATACTCAAGGGGATTTCACAGTTAATTATAGAATTAGTAAATATAAATTATGAATTAAGATCAAATGTAAATACATATTTATTTATTTATTAATTTAACAGCAATGTATAATATTTTCCAGTATTCAATTAGTTATTATTATTTGCAGTTACTAGGTACATTTCACGTACTGTGAAAGGTGCTCTGTGGCTGACAATCCGGGCGGACGGTGTATCGACTGCGAAACCGGTTGGCGCAACAACATCTAACCTATATGAAGTGGATGTTCATTTTGTGGCCTCAACTACCCTGTCTCCTCTTTCTTTTCCAACTTCCCCTGGCTCTCCGTGCCCTGTCTATGTTCATGATTCTCTTTCATCTTTGTCTACTCCAACAGCCGGTTTGACTAATGATAATGATAAACAGAATGCTATCTCTATTCTTGCATCTAAGACCGTGCCACCGAGCGAAATTTTCAAAGAACCTGTCGGTAAAACAGTTGATTTTCAATGGAAGCCGGAATCCCTCACTAAGGAGGAAGTGACCTTACTTTTCTGGCACAGAATGTTTGGCCATGCTAGTCTGAGACATATCCGTCGACTAATCAAGCTTAAACTGGGACATGGATTGCCAGTAGATCTTCCTAGTGGGAAAATTCACTGTCCTGTTTGCGCTATCAGCAAAAGTACACGGATAAACCCCCTGGCCACATCCTATAGACCTGTGGGACGGCTTGATATTATGGCAGCAGACCTTATTGGTCCGTTTGAGATACCTTCCATAGATGGTGGAAAATATATTCTGACAATGCGGGATGTGGCGACAGGGTATTCTTTTGCAAAAGTCCTTGCCTTTAAATCTGATGCAAATCAGAATATAATTGACATTATCACAAGATTAGAACATCAGACTGGAAGGAGACTGAAGACTGTGAGGAGTGACAATGGGGGGGAATTCACTAACAAAAAACTTGAAGAATTTCTGACAGCAAAAGGTATCCAGGCTGAAAAATCACTCCCCTACCATCATTATCAAAACGGGATGATTGAGCGGTACAACAGGTGTCAGCCTATGTGATGCCAAGACAAGTGTCCTCTAGCTACACAAGGTGCAAAATATAAGAGTTTTTATGGAAAAAACTCTGGGATAAAACTGGTACAGGTAATTCAAAAGAATTACGTAGAATTTATGGATTAAATCCAAAAAGTGGCCAATTTATATTAATAAAATTAATATAAATAAAACCAGAGGGGCCTGATAAATCAGGGGTGGTTTAATCCCTCTAAGGTATCGTGCAAAAAGCAGAGGATTTAGGTACCTGATACACTGGGGCCTGTAACAGGTGTGGTTTAAATCCCAGGAGATAATTTTAAGGGGAAAATCTTCAAGAAAGGGTTATTACTTACTAGTAATAATCCTAAGGGGTCTTGAGGATCTTCTTAGTAGAAACTGGACAGTTGGGAGCGCTCAGAAAGGTTGATTTTGGGTGCTGGATGATCACTGGGGAGTTTCTTGAGGGTTCTTGAGGCTTAATAACAGCAAAAATAGTAATAACTAGGCTAATTACAAGTGTAGGGGACTTGTAAATGGTAAGTATGTTTCTATATAGTATTGTTAAGCTGGGGGATCATTATTTGGGCGGTCAGAAGGCCCTTTAAGTACCTGTGGAAGGCCTCAGGGGTTGCCCAGGGGAGCTTAGTAGGACTTGGGGGCGCTTTTTGGCCCATTTTGGCCCACATGGTGATGTAACCAGGGCTGGAACCTTGGGGATAATATTCCAGAAGCTCCAAGGGGCCATGCACGAAATTATTACAGCCAAGAATGTCCCATGGGGACCTGTGGATAGGGGCTACTCTGTTACGTGGAGCAGGTTCCTTGGAAATGGGCCACAGAATATTCCAGAGGTGTCTTCTGAGGCTTGCTACACGTGTTACCCATTGGAATATGGTTACTGTAGTATTTTCATGGATATTCTAGCTTGTTCACATTCTTATTACACGTGTGGAGGCTTTGTTGTCACGTGCAATGGGGATTCTGGGGCTTTTGTGGCCCAATCCTTGGATACTGGTGCGCAGCATGACTACGTGGCGCGTGGGCTTGGAGACAGGACTCCACACAGCTCTATCTTCTAAACCGTGCACAATACTCCAATTCTGAGACTGGATTTGGAGTATATGCATTATGCATTATGCAGAGGAGTCACAGTACCCGTGATATGGGGGTACCTGTTAATTATTCATGCATGTATTACAAGGTGAAGGAGTTATAATTTGGGGTACCTTTGGCTGAGGTACCCTAGGTTAAATTGTATGCTGATTCAGAATCTGCAATAATATTTAAGGTTTTGTTTATACTTTTTAAGTTATTCATTTATTTTTATGTATTTTTTATCTTATTTACATAAGTAATATTGCATCTTTTACTTATGTAATATTTTTACTTTATACTTAGATTTTTTATGTAATTTATTATTTTATTTGCTATGACAGGTTGTCTCTGCCATAGTACCAAGCTGACAACAGGACCATTCAGGACATGGGGAGAACGATTCTGATTGACAGTGTTCTACCAAAATCCTTCTGGAGTTATTCCTTTTTGTGGGCTAATCACGTTCTGAACAGGATCCAAAACAAAGCCAGCGGACCAGTAACACCTTACGAAGGAATGTACCACATCAAACCTCAGTATGATCATTTCTGGGTGTTTGGCGCAGTAGGGTACATTCACATTCCTGAGGAAAAGAGGCTTCGACTGGAACCTCGAGCAGTAAAAGCACACGTCATTGGTCACCTTGAAGCCAGCAAGGGGTGGCTCTTCTGGATTCCCGAGGACAATACTTTTGCAACTTTGGCAATGGTACGGTTTCCAAACAATCTTCCAATGGATAAACCGACCCAGTTAATTGACAGCCAGGTGACAGCTAGCACCTTGAAAGACAGACCGAAAGAAAATGCTAAACTCTCTCTTGATTTTATAATGAATCTAATGCAGCTTGGGGATTTTTCAAATGAAAAAGAATTTACTAACCAAGAATTGATAGTCGATAAAATTTTAGAGATGTGTGAATTCTATTCTATTTCAGTTCCGAAAACCTTCAAACAAGCCATGCGGTCAGATGAGAAGGATGCGTGGTCGAAGGCGATAGCTGTCGAATTATCCAACCTGGAACAAATGAGGGTCTGGGAACTACTTCTTAAGCCATCGGACAAGAAAGAACGCGGTGGTTGATGGGTGTTTGCAACAAAACCGGATGTTAATGGCTCTGGAATTCGTTTCAAGGCACGTTATGTCGCCAAAGGTTTCACACAAATCGCCGGGAAAGATTTCAATGAAACTTTTGCCCCAACCGCTACCTTTGTGTCTCTGAGGTTACTACTGACAATTGCAGCGGCAAATGATTGGCCGGTCCATAGTTTTGAATTTGTAGCGGCGTACCTGAACTCACCCATTGAAGAAGAAGTCTGGGTCAAGCCTCCAGAAGGAATGACGACCCCGCCAGGACATGGACTGCTTTTGAAGAAGGCACTATATGGGACGAGACAGGCAGCAAGATGCTGGTGGCTCCACCTCAAGCAACTCCTGGACAAATTTGGATACTCACCTTTGCAATATGATAACAGCCTGTATATCCTCCGACATCCGGAGGAATTGGGAGTGGTATGGTTGCATGTTGCTGATGGAGTAATGACAGCATCTTCAGAAAGGCTGATAAGGAAGCTGGAAGCTGACCTCACTGACCTTTTGAAAATCAAGTGGACAAATGAGCTAAATTCTACTGTAGGTCTTGATGTTGTCCGGTGCAATAAAGGTTTTACGCTGGGCCAGCAAACTCTGATCAATGGAATACTGGATGCTGAATGGGACGGAAGCACCACGACTAAGACTCCTCTGCCTTCCGGTTTCAATGCAGTGACGGATGTC